TGTTTGTGTGTGTGTTTGTGTGTGTGGGTGTTTGTGTGTGTGGGTGTTTGTGTGTGTGTGGGTGTTTGTGTGTATGGTTGTGTGTTTGTGTCTGTGGGTGTTTGTGTGTGTGTGTGTTTGTGTGTGTTTGTGTGTGTGGGTGTTTGTATGTGTGGGTGTTTGTGTGGGTGTGTGTGGGTGTTTGTGTGGGTGTTTGTGTGTGTGGGTGTTTGTGTGTGTTTGTGTGTGTGGGTGTTTGTGTGTGTGTGGGTGTTTGTGTGTATGGTTGTGTGTTTGTGTCTGTGGGTGTTTGTGTGTGTGTTTGTGTGTGTGGGTGTTTGTGTGTGTGGGTGTGTGTGGGTGTTTGTGTGTGTGGGTGTGTGGGTGTTTGTGTGTGTTTGTGTGTGTGTGTGTTTGTGTGTGTGGGTGTTTGTGTGTGTGGGTGTTTGTGTATGTGTGTGTTTGTGTATGTGTGTGTTTGTGTGTGTGGGTGTTGGTGTGTGCAGAGCGGTGGTGTAGCAGTTAACGCGCTTCGCTACAAACACGGCGACCCGAGTTTGAGTCTCACTCATGGCCAACACTAGTAACGATTATCTGTACCGGTCACGGGCCTCCCCTTGGTCGACTTAGCCTCAAATGGGAACCTGGTGTGGTATGTAAACATCGCCACTGGGGAGACAAAGGTGGCCGAGCGTGGTTTTGGCCAAACACTCCCTCCTGTGCCGTGCCGGTCTTCATAATAAAAGCTCGCTGACAGCACTTGCCCCAACAGTCTGTTCAGGCTATATGGAGGATGTTTGTCTTTGTATACAGTGAGGGAAAAAGTATTTGATCCCCTGCTGATTTTATACGTTTGTCCACTGACAAAGAAATTATCAGTCTATAATTTTAATGGTAGGTTTATTTGAACAGTGAGAGACAGAATAACAACAACAAAATCCAGAAAAATGCATGTCAAAATGTTATAAATTGATTTGCATTTTAATGAGGGAAATAAGCATTTGACCCCTCTGCAAAACATGACTTAGTGGCAAAACCCTTGTTGGCAATCACAGAGGTCAGACGTTTCTTGTAGTTGGCCACCAGGTTTGCACACATCTCAGGAGGGATTTTGTCCCACTCCTCTTTGTAGATCTTCTCCAAGTCATTAAGGTTTCGAGGCTGACGTTTGGCAACTCGAACCTTCAGCTCCCTCCACAGATTTTCTATGGGATTAAGGTCTGGAGACTGGCTAGGCCACTCCAGGACCTTAATGTGCTTCTTCTTGAGCCACTCCTTTGTTGACTTGGCCGTGTGTTTTGGGTCATTGTTATGCTGGAATACCCATCCACGACCCATTTTCAATGCCCTGGCTGAGGGAAGGAGGTTCTCACCCAAGATTTGATGGTACATGGCCCCGTCCATCGTCCCTTTGATGCGGTGAAGTTGTCCTGTCCCCTTAGCAGAAAAACACCCCTAAAGCATAATGTTTTCACCTCCATGTTTGACGGTGGGGATGGTGTTCTTGGGGTCATATGCAGCATTCCTCCTCCTCCAAACACGGCATGTTGAGTTGATGCCAAAGAGCTCCATTTTGGTCTCATCTGACCACAACACTTTCACCCAGTTGTCCTCTGAATCATTCAGATGTTCATTGGCAAACTTCAGACGGGCATGTATATGTGCTTTCTTGAGCAGGGGGACCTTGCGGGCGCTGCAGGATTTCAGTCCTTCACGGCGTAGTGTGTTACCAATTGTTTTCTTGGTGACTATGGTCCCAGCTGCCTTGAGATTATTGACAAGATCCTCCCGTGTGGTGCTGGGCTGATTCCTCACCATTATCATGATCATTGCAACTCCGCGAGGTGAGATCTTGCATGGAGCCCCAGGCCGAGGGAGAGTGACAGTTCTTTTGTGTTTCTTCCATTTGCGAATAATCGCACCAACTGTTGTCACCTTCTCACCAAGCTGCTTGGCAATGGTCTTGTAGCCCATTCCAGCCTTGTGTAGGTCTACAATCTTGTCCCTGACATCCTTGGAGAGCTCTTTGGTATTGGCCATGGTGGAGAGTTGATTGCTTCTGTGATTGATTGCTTCTGTGGACAGGTGCCTTTTATACAGGTAACAAGCTGAGATTAGGAGCACTCCCTTTAAGAGTGTGCTCCTAATCTCAGCTCGTTACCTGTATAAAAGATAACTGGGAGCCAGAAATCTTTCTGATTGAGAGGGAGTCAAATACTTATTTCCCTTATTAAAATGCAAATCAATTTATAACATTTTTGACATGCGTTTTTCTGGATTTTTTTGTTGTTATTCTGTCTCTCACTGTTCAAATGAACCTACCATTAAAATTATAGACTGATCATTTCTTTGTCAGTGGGCAAACGTACAAAATCAGCAGGGGATCAAATACTTTTTTCCCTCACTGTATTTGTGTGCAGCCTGGGGGGAGCGGTGGTGTAGTGGTTAGCGCACTGTGCTACGAATCCAGCGACCCGAGTTTGATTGATGAGGTCGACATCAGTGGTGGATATCTGAACTGGTTCTTGGCCTCCCTTAGGTCGGTTCAACCTAAAACGAGTATCTGTAAACCTCAGCACGTGGGAGACAAAGGCGGCCAGGGTGTGGTTCTGGTGCGCCGTGCCCTTCCACCATAGGTGCTTGCTAAAAACACCGGCCCCAACATTCTGTTGAAGGCTACGCGGGGGAATCTTCGTGCACACTCTATTTGTTGCACGCGACAATACGCTTATGAACAATGCCACGTGAGTTTTCACGTAAATAAATGTGACAAGTGCAGCTAAACAATTTATATACATTGTAAACATGTAAATTTACACTATACATCACATCAGTGCATGTCCGTCTGTGTGTGTCAGTCGCACTAACATTTCAGAAAGTCATGGATGTTCGAGTGATATAGACAAATATCCCCTGTATAGCCCTGTAAAATGTTTGTGTAAATGCTGCAAGCGCGACCCTATGACGACTGGAACAGTGCACCAGGTACTCAATTAAAGTCTGAGTGGACTAGGGGAGGCACGGTTGTTAGCTATGCACCACTGATGTTCGCCATGAGCGGGAATTCAGGTTGCCGGGTTCGTAGTGCAACTTACTAACCACTACACAGCCACTCACTCGATGCTTTGGCTGTGGGAAGGAATCTAATCCAGGCCACCGGGTCCATAGCACAGCTTACTCACCACGACACAGCAACTTATTCTCGCTCGATCTTCACAAAAAAGCCACTTTCAGCAAGCATGAAGCTGGAGTCACAATTTCTCGTTGAACGTTCTAAAAAAAAATCTCAACTTCCCGTCATTTATATCATGTCACACTAAGTGACTGCCCTTGTAAATTCACGCAATAATAACAATTATAATAATGCCAATAAACAAGCCCAGTGAAAGCCATATGATGGCCATAAATCTGTACGGGGTTCGCACCACGGGGGGGGGGGGGTGTGAAAGGGGCTGAGTCGGGAAGGTTCGCGGGGAGCTGCACTTGGGATGGGGTGGGTGGACCCAGGATTATAGTGGCCCCATTCTCTAAGGGACATTGGGGAAGGGGCATTGGAGGCTCGGCTTGGGTTGGGTGTTGGATTCGAGCTCGCGGGAGGAGGAGCAGCAGACTGGAGATTGGGAGGGGGGCGGGGGGTGCACGCGCGAACGAAACAACAGCAGGGTGCGTGCACACAATCGGCAGCCGCACACTTGGGGCTCGGGGGCGAGACCACCCTCGCCAGGGCAGCCGTGTCGTCCGTCCGTCCGTCGCGAGGAGAACCCCCGAACGCATATACCCGCGTCCGATTTCGTTTTTCATTCCTTTCCGCGGCCAGCGAGGCGTCTCGTGGAGCTTTCCAGCGTTTTGTTTTCTCAAGTCGCCGGCCAGAAAGCTAAGCCCCGTGAGCCGCCGCCGCCGACGACAGTGATGACGAAGACGACGACGGGCTGCTGAAGAGCCCCGCACCCCCACGGAGTGTCAGAGGACTCCCCCGTCTTTTTGTTGTGTGTGTGTGTGTTCCTGCGACGAAGCCCCAGCCAGTGCTGACGTCGCCATGACGACGGGTGAATAAAAAAACTTATTTGGCCGTAAGTACCGTGTGGGCGGTAGGGGTTGTAGGGGTTTGGCGTTTGGGGCACGGCCGGGGATGGCGTGGGGCTGTGTACAGGGCAGCAGCAGCAGCAGGAGCGGTTGTTGTTGTTGCGACGAGGTCCATTATAGTCGGAGAAACCGCGGCGTCGAGCACATTTTTTGGCTAAACGAGATTTTTTTTTTCCCCGAAGCGGAGTGAAATCTTCCGTCTCGCTTTTCCAGAGCAATTTGCCGACGAGTTTGTGGATATTAAAGCTTTCGTGACTGCAATGATTCATCTTCTTTGGTTCTTTCGGTAAAGTCACGTAGAATTCTACGTGACTTTACCGAAATAATTCTACGTGACTTTACCGAAAGAACCAAAGAAGAGTTTGTGGATAGTTCGCATGCTCGCAGGAATTAATTGGTGAGTTGCCGGTGCCCGTGTTGAACGAGAGGAAAGCCACTCGTGTGTGTGTGCGTGCGACAGACAGCTGGAATAGTTCTGTCTGTCGAACGCTGGGTTCATGATCGCCAGGGTCGCGAGTTCAGATGGCGGTCAGCTCCCCTTGGCCACATCAACACGTTCGTTGATAACACGAGACTCCTAAATAGGAAGAAAGTCTATAATAGGCGATATTTTGGGTAATTGCTCTCTTTCTCAGGGCAGTGTTATTGTGGAACGTGTTGAGTTTTTTGTGGTTTGTGCGTGCGCACCCCACTGCCAAAGCAGTATTACAAATAACAGTGTTCACTTTGTGGGGAGTCCACGGCAATTGTTTGCGCTAAGTAAGACGAGGCTGTGCCTTGTCACACTAACGTGGATTTTCCACCACCGGCTTGACTGGAGGAATCAGGTGCGGTGATCCGCCGCCCATCGTTTGAAATAAGCGCCGCGCCGTTCTGGATATTCTTGACCGCGGCAAAAAAATAACGAGAAAGATTCTCTCCTCTCCGACGCCTTGCAGTGCCTCCCACGCAGCCACGTGGAGGAAGACGACGACGAGGAAGGAGATGAAACGGTTGCAGAGGGGAGGCCGCCGTCGCTGCTGAGGAAGTGTCGCAGGGGCCCCGTCCCCAACGTTCCGTGCACGTTGGACCGCCGCACCAACTGGACGGAGGAGCTGCCCCTACCCACGCCCGAGCAGCGCATGCGCGAGACCGCGTGCCAGATCGTCTCTGACCTCGTGCCCATCAACGTGTCCGGTGAAACAACGCAACGCGCGACTCCACGTACAGCCCCTTTTTTTGTCAGTCCGCTGCTGGATGAGAGCCTCCCCCCTCCCTTCCCACCCGCCCCCCCCCCCCCCTGTGCGGGTTGAGGGGGTTGTTTGACGATACTTGGCCGGCGCGGGTTGGTGCAGGCCGAGAGCATGGATGCCGGAGCATAGATGTGGGAGCATAGTTAGTAGAGTAGTAAATTTTTGTTGACGAATCTTAATTGACTTAATTAACGTGTGTTTAGCAGCGGCCTGTCAAACTAATTCCGCTGGAAAGACGTGGGTCGAGAAAAGCCTGAAGGCTTAGGCCGATGGGACTAAAATGTTACTTCATTTTATTTTGACATGATCAAAAGGACACTGGTCCGTTTATTATTTTACAGTTGTCATCATCACGGTAATGCAATTAGTTCGTGGGCCAAAGATTCTGGAGGTCCATGCCAAAAACTTTCATGGAACAAACGCCTTTATATGGTCAAACGAGTAAATTATATAACATCCTTGGGTTTTTGAAAACGTAATCGCGCAATTACGCTTGATTGGACATACATAGCAGTCGGTACCGCTGGAGTGTTGCCTCGTCAGGTGGTAACGGGTGGTGCGATGTACGCTTTGGGACCACGGACTTTGTTGACAATCATGACTTACAGCGGTTTGTCAATCCATTGCTGGTCATTGAGGGTTTTTGCCCATTCTTTGGCATGTTGGTCGGTTAAGTTCGGTGACGGGGAAACACCAGGTTCATTGTCACTGACGTTAGCCATAGCAGGAAAACAAACCAAGCTCACCTGTTTGCGATTGTGGTACGCTAACCACTGCACCACAACTCCACCCCGGGTGATTATAGCAGCAATGATTTATGCAAGCAGCGGGAAAGCTTAATGAGTATTTTTTAAAATAAATATGTATTTTATTTTCAGAGCTGGAATTTAGTTGAATTAAGTGCAAAAGCTAATGTGTCGTTCAGTCACTGAACCCATCAACCCAGGATCTCCACGGCACCAGCTCAGCGCTTTAACCTCTGGGCCACATTTGGCCACATCAATATTAAGGTATAAATATTGTAATTATTATTGTGTATGGTGTTCTATCGCTACTCGCGAGTCCATGTCTAGGACTGAGAGCCAATGTACAGTTTTGGGGAAGCTGAATCAATGTTTTCAATGCCTCCATTCAATTTCCGAGGCTCACAGTGGCTCACACTCCACAGGTTGCCGGTTGGATTTGATTTCCTGGCAAGGAAGTTAAAATAACGGTGCAGGTTTCTTAAATCCCCCTCCCCCCCCACCATCGCCTCTGTCCTCCCAGCATTTTAAAATGGTCACAGCACAGTTAGTCGCTCTGCAAGTCACACGTGGTGGGGTAAAGTGTGAGCACCCCCACTTCTTCCAAGACGTTTCGTGAAACTCGGAAGAATAGGCCAAAAATACCCTTTGTAGCTCTGCCCCTAGTGTGGTGGCCTTCCGGTAGCAGTGGCGCAAGCGAGCAATACAGGGCTGCGCGCTTTGCCTTCACGACGGTTCACAGTGTGGTCCGCGTTCTGGGTCACGATTCCCACCATCACACGACCTTCCACTTGAATAGGAGGTGGCCACATCTGCCACGGGTGGTACGGATTCCCTTGGCGCGCGCGTGTTGAATGTCACGTGTGTCAATTGTGCGGGTGGTGCAGGCAGCAACTTCGAGCGCCAGGCCAGCGCGCGTCGCTCCTTCGCCACCTCGGAGTCGATCGTTCGTCGCAAGAAGCGGCTCCAGCGGAGGAAAACCATCACGGGCATCCCGGAGCACGTGCGCAGGGAACTGGGTACATGCGCGCGCAACAAACCGCACATATCGCACGTCACCGCGCTCTGCCACCGTCCAGCAGTGATCATGATAACCAGCCCCCCCTCACGCAGAGATTCGTTATCAGCCTCTAACTTCCCACAGCTGGGCAAAGACCTTACTCCGTTGAATCGTATTCCAATCCTTTCCTGAGTTGTTCCTGTCCGCTGGTAGTAGCCTCCAATCCCAACTCACTGCTATATTTTTCTCTGTCGTCCTTAACTATGAAGTGTCCACTTCGTCGTTAATTTGTTCGTAATAATGGTTGAGATGAGATGCATTTAAGCACACTATCAATAAAAAAATCATTATCTCTAATTTCTCATTTAATATTGTGCGGATTGCTAGACTGGAGTAGGCACGTCACGGCTCGTGGCCACAGTCGCAGCGAGAGGTAGCCTGGATGTGGTGGGCTGGGTGGGGGGCATATTTTCTTTCGCTTGCAAGAACCCCAGCGAAAATGAAACCCTGCTCCCATATAAGCCTGGCCCAAGCACCGCGTTGAGTTTGTGCCACGCGGGTGCGGCACCGTCCCTCCCTCCTGGTGCACTCGTGTCACGCTTCCTTCGGTCCTCGTGTCTGCCAGCGCGGTTAACTTCCATCGTTGAGCTGTACGGTGCCCCGCTCTCGATGACCTCCACCTTGATCAAACTCGCGCTGCCTAAAAAAATACCCCCCACGTATTCGCACGGCGTGGGGAAGCCTTGACCCATTGGTGGATGACGGCCTCCGGGAAAGTCTCACCGAGTTTCAGGACACTCTCATATGAAGAGGTTCATGCGTGGGGATATTTTGGCCAATTTCTTTTAAATGATGGGAGAGCAAAGCAGAGGAGCTGGAGAAAAGCCGTATGTACCCAATATCAGCACAGACAAGTCAGGAATCCACATGGACATGCGTTCGTGACACAGTGCCCGCTGTGTGCTTGGCATGCGCAGGCTGCTGCTACGGCACCGACGGCTGGCGCTGCCACTCGCTGTCACGTCTGGGCAACTCGACTTTCCTGTCGGCGCTGGAGCCCCGCGAGACGTGCGACTCGGCCTGCCAGACGGACGACGGGGAGCACCACCAGCAGCAGCGGCGAGAGAATCATCGGGGGGGGGCCCTGCCGGCGCCGACCCCCCACGTGGTGTCGCCCAGCGAGAGGCGCGTGCGGGCTCTGCTGCACCGGCGCGACGGTGCTTCCGACCGCATCTCGCGCTCGCAGGGGGACGTGCGCGGCCCGGCTCTCGCCACGAATGCCGCACGCCGAGCCACGGCGGATATCGACAGTGACGACGACGACGACGATGACAACAATGATAAAGACAGCGGCAGGGGAGGCAGTGGCGGCGGCGGTAGCGCTGTTGGTTTTTCCGCCCGGCGGGAGTTCGGCCGCGACTTGGCTGCCGGACGCACCCCGGTAACGGACGGGGATCGCCAAACGCGGGGTCGCGAGGACGCCGACGCCACGACGCGCGTGGAGGTGCACCGCACCGACTCGGACGCCCGGGACTCGGCGAGCTCAGAGGAGGGCTCCGTGTTTCTGCCCTCCAACTCGAGCGGATCTGACAGGGTATGCTTGACCGACCGAGGCGCCGACGGGACTGAAACGGCGGGGGATATGGCCAACCTCGGCCACGGCGAGTCCTTATCGGGCGGCACAAGTCGGTTGAAAAGTAACGAGCGGCCAAAACGTTTGGTGAACGGCGTCGCGCTCCCGCCGGCCGCGACACACGAGCAGTACCAGTGCACGTCGCACGGACGGTCGCGCGCACCTTCCGTCGCCCACGTTCAGGGCCTGCAGCTGAACAATGGGGCGCCGGTGCCTCCCGGACAAATGCCAGCGGCGGCCACGTGCGCTGCCGCAGATCCGGACGGAGCGCCGATGTGCAGACAGAGGGGCGGCGGCGCCACCTCAGAGGTCATGGGAAAATGCGGAGCGGCTCGCGAAGCCGGCTCGCATCATCATCATCATCATCATAGGGGCGTTTTTCCCGAAACCGAGTCGTCCGAGAGGTCGGACGCCGGCTCCATGTTTTCGGAGGACATGGACGGCTACTACACCTCAATGCACTTCGACTCAGGGCTGCGTGGCCGCAGCTACAGCAGCGCCAGCTCGGAGCCGAGCCACCCCGGCAGGGGCATGCGCAACCGCAGCTTCTCCATCACCAAGCTGCGCCAGAAGCCGGCACCGCCAAAACGTGATGTCTCTCTCCGCAGAGATGCGCAGCCTCAAATTGCCAGCGCCTGCAAAACCGGCGCCAGCGGCCGCGATTCCTCAGACAGCGCGAGCCTGGCCGAAAGCCGGGCGGCTCTTGCCGGTTGCTGCGCTCGGAGAGCGATGGTGGCGTCCCACGGCGAGGAGGAGAAGCTGAGAGCACTTAGAATTTACAACGGCACCGCAGGCCGGCACGAGGACGCGCTGCTGAACAACCACAGGGTACGCGATGCTACGGCAGCACCGCACGCGACAAGCGAGACACCAAAAAGCAGCAGCGCGTTCGTCAGCACCGCCAACAACGGGCCCCACAGGGGCCTCAAAATCCCGAATGGCGACGTTATCCCGGCCGCGGGCTATGCACCGCACGACGCTCAGGAGCTCCTCGGAGGGAGGGCCTCGCCGGAGGGGACTCAGCTCGCCGAGTTGAGGAGGTCGCTGAAGCTGGACATCAAGACGACTCACGTCGCGTCCACCTGCCAGAAGAATAACACCGCGCACTACGAAGACCCGTGGGTGCTCCGAGATGACTCGGAGGCAGCTGCAGAGACTCCCACGCCAGGTCCGGAACGGGCCACGGTTTCATCCCAAGTGCCGGCGATGACACCGGCGATGACACCGGCGGCGGCGGCGGCCGCCACTCCGACCGTCCGTCGATCCGAGTCTGTGGACTCCTGGAGCTATGACGAGATGCTCCCGAGCGAGGCCTACCACTCGCTGTCGAGCTCCAGCACGGCCACCGGCACCACGGTGGTGGAGTGCCAGAGGTTGGGCTCAGACGAGGCACTAAGCGGCACCTCGCCGCGCGCCGCGCCCTCCTCGCCGGCCACCACCGCCTCGAGCCAGTCCAAGTCGTCATCACCCGAGAAGGTGAGCAGCGTCACGTCGCCCTCCAGTGGCTACTCGAGCCAGTCGGGCACGCCGACCTCGCTCGTGCCGGCACCGCTGTTCCCGCGCTCCGGATCTCCCGCCGTTGTCAAGGTCAAGCCTAAAGTCCCCGAGCGGACATCCTCCTTGAAGCCGCCCATCACGCACAGGCCGCAGCCTCTGCCGCCGCCGTCAGTAATGGCCGGCGAGTACAGAGAGATCGTCGCGAACAGTTACCCCGCGGTGCCCGGTTCGGCAATGTCGGCGGGGCAAAGAACAAAGCCAAGCCGAGAATCCCCCATGTTTCACTTTCCGCCGGACCCGTGCTTCGTGACCGCCTCGCTTGACGGCATTTTGCTGAGCCGCGTGATGTCGTCCTGCTCAGAACTGTACAGCAAGCGTGGCCACCTCGTGCAGTCCGCGTCGTTCCCCTGCCAGTACGCGAGCGGCGTCATGGGTCCCCTCACCGGCGGCGGTGGTGGAGCCATCAAAATGCAGGATCCGGCTGTCACGGCCGTCAAAGTGCTGGATACGCACGTGGGCAAGGGGACGCCCGTGCCGGACTACGAATTTGTCAAGCTGCGGATGGAGAATGAGACGTGTGTGCTTCCGAAACCACTGCCAGACCTCCTGACGGATTCACAGAGGCCGGCGCACGCCGCAGCGCCGGTGTCAGCATATCACCACTGCGGCGCACACCGCCGCCACCGCCACTGCCAACCCGATGCCACGAAGCCCATTGTGCAGGCTTCCGCGGCGTCACCTCATGAAGCTCAGGATTTCATGGACAGGAAGAAATGTGCAGACCCGACGATTGACTCTTCTGACCAGTATCACACATCAGCGGTCCCGGCGGCAGTGGCGGTGGGAGTGGCAGCAGAGACAGCGAAATGTGACATCAGTTCGTCCGCACGGGTCAACCGAGCCAAGGTTTCCTGTGCGGAGAGCGTTACTAAATCCAACAAGAAGTCAGAAAGCGAGCCGCTTCCGAAATGCCTGGATGAATCGACTTTGACGCCAGCCACCCCAACTCTGCTCCATCAGCCGTCGCCCGCTCCACCACAAACCTCAAGTGCCGGCTGTGCGTTGGACAGTTCGGGGTCTCAGCTGGAGCTTCACTCGTACAAAGATGCGGCGCCCAGCGATCAGGAATGCCACCAGAACAACCAAGCGACAGCCACAATGGCGCGCTCGCCAGCGTCGCCGTCCGTGTCCTACTCCGTGTCCGTCATCCACCCCAAGTCGCCGCATGCGTTCACGGCAGTGTCGTCTCATCAGGGTTCAGCCATTATCCAGGATGTGGAGCACAGCTCCAGGCCGATTGAAAACGGCAGCGCGAATATAACCGAGCGGGTGGCCACGTGTAACGGAGGGTCACCTCCGTGGGAGGATGAGCGCGAGCAGCACACAGAGGTGCTTGCGACGACTGTGAAAGATGCTCCGGGAATTCTGGGCAAGGAACAGGAAGTGAGAGGGAAAGAGGCGGTTGCCACGGAGATGGGGGAGGGCAACGCGCGAGTTTTGCAGGAGTCGGCTGATGACGTCGGCGATGGAGTGTTCGAGTTTCAAATGGCGAAAGTCGTGGCAGGTTAGTTATATGGATTTCATGTCTGTCTCTTCGTTTGTTTCGTTTTTCATGTTTTTGACATCCAAGTGATGTATTCAGTCGGATTTGTTTCAATCGATCCTTGTTATAAAATGTTCAATTGGTATCTACAATCCCAAACATTTTATGCAGTCCTAAAAGCAAAGTTAGACACTTTTATTGGTCCATATGATGCCTTTTTTGTTTTCTGGTGGTGTGGAATGGCGCAGTGGTTCGTGCACCGTGCTATAGAGGCCAGAAACCTGAGTTTGATTCCGGCCAACCTGCGCTGACCAACGTGGTTAAGTGTGGTCAAACATCCCCCATGCCCGGCACGGCATTGGGGAGACCTTCATTCAGCAGTGGACTGGCAAAGGACTGTACTATATTCACATCAACGGCATATGTAGTGACTACATATGTACTCGATGTGAATGTGGGAAAAATTACGAATTCATGAAAATTATGCATTGATGAATATCCCCATTATTTTGGAACATTCAGCTAATTGGCCCCAGGAATGCTTATCTGTTCTATTATTTACGATAGTGCAGATGATTTTGAAACTGTATACAGTTTCAAACTGTATACAGTTTCAAAATCATATGATGGATAAGTTTGCCTTTACAAATGAAACCTATCTTCTTTGGTTCTTTCGGTAAAGTCACGTAGAATGAGAATAAAATAATAAATTGATAAAATAAAATAACACAATAAAATTCTTACGACGTTTATTATTTTATTCTCATTCTACGTGACTTTACCAAAAGAACCAAAGAAGATGAATCCTTGCAGTCACGAAAGCTTTAAATCGAAAAATGAAACCTAATTTCAACCTGATATCCACAATACTGTAAGTTTTTTCGAAGTAAACTGTAACATATCGTTAGTGCTCAAAAACGTGTTCTGACGACTTGTGTAACCCGTTTCTCCGAGTGGAAATGAACGCTACAAAGTAAATTACCGGACACCGAGGCGTTTAACACTTTTGTACTCCTCTGGCTTGCAGAAGAATACGACGAGGGGGCAATGCGGAGGTCAAGCTCGCGGTCCGAGGATGACGTCTTCGTAACATCCCCCTCGGTCTCCATGACAACCGCCGACCTCTTTGAAGCCATTTACAGGTGCAAGTGAGGCCCACGACCGCCTGCCCCGTCGCCACTGTGATTATCGATAAACAGTAACCTCCACTTAAAAAACGGACCATTGGTTATCGATGCGCCACCTGATGAAGGCCTCTCTATGTTGATGTCCATCATCAACAAGGAGCCACGCTGCGTTTCTCTTCTCTTGATCGCTCCGTCCACTAGCCAGGAATAAGCACTGGCCCCACCAGTTCCCCCGTACGGCATGCCGTTCTTAACATGTGCTTGCTGACAGCGCTTGCCCCAACAGTCTGTATTACTATACGGGGAATCGTATTCCATGTAAAGCACGTGCACATTCATCAGTGTGTTCTCCCTCAAATAAAATCAATGAAATATTTGCCCAGTTTTCATTTGCGGCATTCTTGTAGAACCAGGGCTCTCAGGAAGGCGCTATGGTAGTTTCACAGTCAGGGGCAATGCTGCTGTGCAGCTTTTCCTAATCAAGCAATTTACAAGTCACTTATGAAGTTGGGAATTTTTTTTACCATGATGCCAGCACACGTGACGTACTGGTTTTTTTCAAATAATAATAATAATGTTACGGGAAGAAGACACCGGGTAGCAATTACGACGTTTAACACACCCTCAATGTTAACCAGGGCGCCCAAGGGGCTTGGGCCATGAACCTGTGCAGCAAACGCGGTACGGCTCGGCCACACCACCACCAAACGGCCACATCCGCAACGTGTTTAATTTTCTATTTCGCTACCTGCAGGTCAAAGAGGAAGTTCCTGTGCCGGAAGGAGTCCGCCGAGAGGGGCTCATCGGACAGCACTCCGGGCTCGCCGGTGGTGACATCGCCGATCGTCGGCTCGCCGGTGCTGGCGTCTGCCAGGGGCAACGGCTCCCCGAGGCTGTCCTCCCCTCACGGCCGGCGCTCGCAAACCAGCCAGGAGCATTTCAAGGCGCTGCTGCTGCGCAAGGGCTCCCGCTCCGACGCCGGCTCCAGAATGTCGGCCGCCGAGCTGCTCAAGCACACCAAGAACGCCGCGGCCGCCGCCGGTTCTCCGCGGCCCGACGGCACGGCATCGCCGCTCGACGCCCGCTCGCTGCTCGCGCGGGATCACTGCGAGTCGCCGGCGGCGTCGTCCCCCGGCTGGCAGGGGCACTCGACGCCGGGCCGCAGGGAGCACCGGGCGCGGCACCCGCTGGCGATCCGGGCGGGGGTGAGGGGCGACGGGGTGGCCATTTCGCCGGGGGCTCGGCACGGGCCCCGCGCCCTGAGGCTCGCGTCGGTGCGGCACTCGCCGGCGATGCAGCCGATCTCGGAGGGAGAGGGCGAGACGGCGGAAGCGGCCGCCGCCGCCGATGATGATGATGATGATGGTGGTGGCGAAACGCCCTCGGAGGTGGCCGGTGAGAGGAGAGAGGAAGAGTCGCCTTCAGGGTCGAAGGTCGACGAGCATTGATCGTGGGTAGCAAAGCGACCGAGGGAGAAGTTGAGAAGTGCTTTTTAAAAAAAAGTAGTTTTTCTTCTTGTTGGTTTTTTTTTATGAAAAAAATTATCACATCAATGCTGGTATATATGTCTTTACAGCACAATGTCATAGCCGTCAGTTCCTAAAGAAGATGTAGTCTCTGAGTGTCTGAATGTCTCATGCAGTTCCCATGTAATTAGATCAAGTATGTACCAGTGTGTAAACTATTTAACATTTAAAATGCACCCTAAGAAAATAGAGGCATTAAAAAAATGGAGTAAGGTTTGAAGTGCAGTGTTTGCATTGACTCGAGAAAGAGGTGTTTAATCTGTAGTTTGATGATGAGTTGTGGTGTGAGTGGTGGGAGGTGGTGTTGGCGCCGTGTATGTGTTTGAAGGTGATCAGGCTGTAGGAAACGTGATCCCTTACAAGAAAGTGCTTTAGAGAAAAATGTACATACGAGTATATAAGCAAAAGAGAAATATCACGCAAGAGTATACGTTAACAAGAGCGTTGATTGATCAGAAGTCCCGTATTGTCTTAGAGGATTTGAAGAAGATGCTTCTGGTTAAATCTTTGCAAGGTGTATCTCAAGCCCTATGCAGTACAACGTCGGATATCTGATTCGCTGGGTACTTGATATTTAGGCGGACATGTGAAAAAAGTCAGATACGTGAAAATCTATGAAATTTGATGGTTACATAATGCACAATAAGTGCAGGTTACTGGGAAAAAGAGAAAGCAAAAGCTGCTTTAAACGTGGGGACATTATTTACTGCACCTGAAAAGTAATCCAATGTACAGTACGCGAGATTATAAATACGTGACTGCGTAAAAAAGATTTGTGAACATCTATAGCAGATTAAATTCACGATGTGCGCAAAAACTCCTGTCTGTGGGCAGTTAAACGATGAGGACGGACGTAGGATGGGTGGGATATGTAACGTTGTACTGCAGTGGTGGTGTTATTGTTCTAAAGGGTGTGCAGAGGAGATGCTTTTGCTCGTTAAAACGTGCCTCTTGCCCTCTGATGAAGTGTTCTTTTACGAACCGTAGTGGAAAAGAAATCAGCAGAGGGTGGTGGGAGTGATGAGCACCGCTGCTTGTGCTTGCTGTTGGAAGGAGTGCATGGAGAAGGATAATGCAAGTGTGTGGGGGAAAAAAGTGTATCACGAAAAGTTTTTTTAAGATTAAAATTAAAAAAATGTACGAGTTCGGGTTTTGCTACGGTCAGGGCCAACAGACTTCGGAAGAAAGCTTTGCTCCGGTTTACGTTATTTTATTCAAGTTTGAGGCAGTTGTGGTTATAGCTGAAGACAAAAAACATGTTTAAATTTGTGAATTAAGACTTATTTAAGGCGGTTTAATTAACTGTGCTCAGAGGAGAAATGTTTGTGAAGTTTTATATTTTCAACCACTTACATTGTCATTTTTTTTCTCAATTAACTGTTACACAGAAATAAAAAAAAACATACCTTATCATATTAATTTATTCCACTGTTTTACTGGCAAATTCTAAGCAATGTTTTTTTGTTATCAAAGAAGCAAAAAAACAATTCGAGGAGATCAAAAGATTAAAGTTTACGCCTATGAAGTGTGTGATCTTGTTGATGGCGTCTGCTGGCCCTGGTTATTAGAAGGCAGTTTGTGATGAGGGAGGGTCGACGCTGCGTAACTCTCCGATCTGTTTTCGGGTTGTACTTCGTTGTCGATGGTCAACAGTAAATTTTCTCAAGAAGCTTTCGGCACGTGGGAGCATATCGTCGGACATCATGCTGTACAACGTGCGGGACAGCCCGAAAGCGCACATCGGAGACCTAAGAAGTGAGAAGGTTTATTTTGGGTTAGATGGTGGAGGTATATGCACATTTTTTTTAAAGAATTCTGATCAGGAAGCACTTTCGCGCTTGAGCTGAGATTTCATTAACACACGATGATGATGGAAGTAATCTCCAGCGAAGCGTCGTACAAAACTCTCAAAAGTTTATCTTGGTCTTTTCAATATGTATCTGGTTTGCTGAGAAACCAAATAAATTGGCATATTTGCCCACGTGACAACTCGATTTGATTGGCTCCGATGGGTGGTGGAGGGTTAAGGGGAGCCGCGGTGGGGAGATATTATCTCCCTGGCCTGATACGCAGGGGTCCATGGGTTCGATCCCGACCCTGACGATGCCTGTTGCATATTTCGAGTGTGCATGTTCTCTTTCCACGTAGTCACGTGGATTTTCCTCCGGGTCCTCCGATTTCGCCCTCCACATTTAGAAAACATGCGTTTAGATGATTTCGTTAGGAATATAAATTCCCATGTGTCATGAAATAAGCCACTTCAATGTGCTTTTGAAAAAGAGCTACTCCATAGCTCAGTGGGCTTTGCCTGGTAAAATACAATTTCAGTCTTCATATTACATTTTGCATTAAGCCTCGACAATCTAACCCAAAATAAACTAATAGTGAACCATAATATTGGTCACGAAAGCCTACGTAAACAATCGTTGCAGTATTATTTTAGCCGAGGTGTGCGACGCACTGACGTTGGATTCCAAATGAGTGTGCCCGTGCAGTGTTCAAGTCGTCTGTATTTAGCCACCACGTTCAGTGTCGTCTCGCCTAACCCTCGGTTATTCCTTATTTAAGCGTGGGCCTTGTTCATGATTACTCTTATTGATTTGTTGCTGAGATATCATTTTACTTTCATCTGCTTCAGCGCATGATAAACCGCACGATTAGCCGTTAGTGGTTAACGACATGTGTGTGCAAGCTTCACGTGAACACCGTAAACTGTTGGTTTCATCCCCACACTTTGTGAAGTCCCATCGTAATAGTTATTCACAGTGATCCGTCCTTGTGTTTGTCAGAAGTGACCAAGTCCAAGGCATCGATGACCTCACTCTGCCCATACCCTTCCATGCCTCAAATCTGTCCGACAGGTGAATTAAAGTGGCTGTGTGTTTTTTTTTGGTTAACGGTTGGGTCACTCACCGTAGGGAGTGAATCTGAAGCTGCGTTCTTGGTGTAACCGTCACGAAGCCACTCAGTTTCAGCCCCTTGGTTTCTTAAGTGGCTCAGCTTCTCCATTGCTCCTCCTCGGTGTGCATGAGTTGCTCACGATTAGTGCCGTAGATGCTCATAGATGATGGATGGCATCCACCCATACGACAGCGGTGTTTCTTTTCACTTTGTTTTTCTCACTTGCCAAAGACAATATGCTAAAACCGACAAGTTTTTTGGAGAAATGAATTCATGTCTTTCTGAATTCATGGAGTAATTTTTGTTTTCCTTTGTGCTGGTATTTCTTTTGTTTAGCCCTGGTGTTTTGAAGTCCATCCTATCGCTCAAAACAACTACGGCAATAGAGAACTGGTTAATCGCATTTGTGTGTTGGATAAGACTCCAGTGTGCGACACGACTTAGTATTATAACGATGTAAATATGACGCATTACACTAACAACACTACTCAGTAGACATTGCACTAGTTTATCTTAGCATGTAGTTTTTGTGTTGTTTTTTTTTAAATATATATTTACCCACTAAATTTTGTTGTAAATATTCCTGTGCCCCCTTTCTGCCACGTGTATGTGCTATGGTGTGGTGCTAATATACTACTGTATTTAAACCGCCACGTGCATTACACTCCGAGCACGTTCCGTATTGTAGCTGCCACCTCAATGTGGGTCCCTTTCCGCCCCTCCCCCTATTGCTTACGTATACTTGAATTGCCACATTTGTAACAACCTGCAGACAAAATAAATTAATACGATTCAAACCAAAGCACACGTCGTCCATGTGTGTGTGTGTGTTTTGAGAGAGAAAGAATTAGCGGGGAGTGGTAGTGTAGTTGTTAGGGCACTGCGCTGAAAATCCGGCGACCGCTCAGTGGCGAATACAGGCAGGCCTCGCTCAGCGCTGAATGTGTGTTCCTGGAAACGTGAGCACTAATCGAATCCGTGCTAAAAGGGGTCATAGAGTACCATTGTGTATATGGGGATGTGTTCCAGAAAGTTTTTTTATTTCCGTATGAGCAACATTTGTGGGCTTCGTTCGGGTATCGGTAGTGACGCTGATAATACAAATGGTAACATTTTCATAAGTGGAATGTCTTTAGAACGTTGAAAAAAACTATAAATACTTGGTTGCATTGTAATGGGAAAACCTGTTCTCATATTTTGGTACTTGCAAAGGAGGTCCCAAGAAGCATTGTAATGTTCAACAAATCTTACGCGTATTTTTGGTTCTTTCGGTAAAGTCACGTTGAAGGGAAAACAATAACATAATAAAATATATTATTATATATTATTATATATTTTATATATTATTTTATATATATTTTATTATTTTATTGTTTTCCCTTCAACGTGACTTTACCGAAAGAACCAAGAATATGAATCACTGCAGTCACGAAAGCTTTAAATCAAAATGTTACGCGCTTCATAAAATCGGGACAGAGTAACAAACTCACACACTTGCTCCACGAGAGTACGATGATGATTCATATTCCTGGTTCTTTTGGAAAAGTCACGGAGAAGGGAAAGGAATAAAATAATAAAATAAAACAATACAATTTTCTTGCTGTGGTTTTCACACCTGATGATGATTGCTTGTGTTACAATCGAAAGGTCGTGAAAATTTTATTGTTCTATTTTTATTATTTTATTATTTCCCTTCTACGTGACTTTACCGAAAGAACCAAGAATATGAATCCCTGCAGTCACGAAAGCTTTAAATCGAAAGATGATGATTATTATTAGTATGCAATGTGACGAGGTGGGAGAGAGGATGGTATGTAGAGTGAGGGGCAGAAGAAGGAATGGCCGGGTGTTGATCATGACGAGTCGAGGTTTCCTGACGGTGGAGGCGATGCCTCCCAAGTTAGTCTCTTAGAAATCGATCGACTTTGCAACAAACGAGCGGAGACCCATTGCAGCATGGAAAAATGCAGTTCAACAGTGGACATTGCTATGCTACCCTCGGCTGATGTCATGCCACCCCCGCCCCCCCATAGAGGGCGCCGCGATTTGTGATGAATATCCAATTCGTTACGAAGCTCAGGGTAATTAATCAATGACGTCATCACGAATTATATTAAATCGGTGAGACGGGGGTGACGTTCAACATCGCGCGAATGACGTCACAATGAATAATTTAGCAGGCAAATCTTGACTTAAAGCTTTCGTGACTGCAGGAATTCATATTATTGGGTCTTTCGGTAAAGTCACGTAGATAGGTTCAAAGAAAATAACAAAAAACTACGACGTTTCGATCAGGAGAAAAAGTAATATATATAAAAAAAACTTTTTGTTAAAACACGCTTTAATTAAATGTACCGTACTAATGATGGCAGAACTCCACGACTCCAGAAGTGGCCCCGAAGCTTGCCACAACGTAACGGGACCGTGGGCAATGACAGCCAACGTCAGTGGACAATTAGACCCAAGCCGAAGCATAACATGTAAAAAATTATGTTTTAAAATATGTTTATTTTTATTTTTTATGATAGAATATAGTATTGTCATCAGTATGACATAAGTATACCAAGTTTGCTGTCGATACCACGTTGGGAAGTGGGTTAAAATTGAGTTACAAGATTTGAAGAGACAACGACATCAACAGACAGTGAGTTAAATAAAAGCGTGTAATAAAAAGATCGGGAAAGTTTCTGCAATGACGTCAAGCACAGGAACTTTGGTAAACAAAGAGACCACATCGAAACTAACGAGCAAATCACCTTGAGATAGTGAGATGTCCTTAATTAACGATGCCAAGTGAGCTGAGTTGAGTGTAGCTGAGGTGGTCTCAATGGTTGTAACGTATCAGAAATCGGGACAGTTTGTAGGTGGGTGAGTCAATGGTGCAGACGATAGGACGAAGGGGTGGGTGTCCCTTCTTTATGGATTTTTTGGTAAGCCATACAATCTGGGTGGTCTAGCAGCAGAGGGTTTTAAGGAAAACCGCTTGGTTGGTTCGATCAAAGATGTCGAATCGGTGATGACATTGTTGGTTTTCGTAACGAGGCGGTTGAATTTCGCAGTCACCCCTAAACACATCCCAGTTGATGATATCATTGCCCAGGTCGACGTAGCCCTAAATGGTTTGGGACACATTAGGGGCCGTCCATAAATGACGTCACGCATCTAGGGGGGGGGGGGGGTCAGACATTTGTGACGATGTGTGACGAGGGGGTTTGAAGCATGTTTTACTTTCAAAATGGAAATATGATATGTGACGTCATAGTTGAGGGGGGGGGGGTCTGACTTTTTGTGACGCCCTGTAACGAGGGGGGGGAATCGTCCAAAATCGCGTGACGTCATTTATGGACGGCCCCAAAGCTCAAAGGGCTCATCTTTACTGATGTTGCTAATAGGTGTCTTAGCGTTTTTGAGGATTGCAGCGATTTCCGATCTTGCCACGTCTGCAGTGATGTGTCCCAAACCCTTTCGGGCTACGTCGACCTGGGCAATTATATCATCAACTGGGATGTGTTTAGGGGTGACTGCGAAATTCAACCGCCTCGTTACGAAAACCAACAATATAATCACTGATTCGGCATCTTTGATCGAACCAACCAAGCGGTTTTCCTTAAAACCCTCTGCTGCTAGACCACCCAGATTGTATGGCTCTTTTTTTCTCCTGATAACGATTGCTTGTGTTGCGATCGAAACGTCGTAGTTTTTTTATTTTTGTTATTTTCTTTGAACCTAACTACGTCATTTTACCGAAAGACCCAATAATATAATTTAACAGGCAGTCATCGTCTCCAAAGCATACTATGCATGACGTCATAATGAATAATTCAACAAGCAGCCAGTCACCAAAGCATACTATAAACGACGTCATAGTGAATAGTTCCGCAAGCAGCAGTCACCAAAGCATACTATCATGACGTCATAATGAATAATTCAGCAAGCAGCCAGTCACCAACGCATACTATGCATGACGTCACAATGAATAATTCAGCAAGCAGCCAGTCACCAAAGCATACTATGTATGACGTCATAATGAATCATTCAGCAAGCAGCCAATCACCAAAGCATGCTATGCATGAGGTCATATTGAATAATTCAGCGAGCAGCCATAGCCCCTCAGAAAATTAAGCATTGCGTCATAAAGAATAATGCAGCGAGCAGCGATAGCCCCTCAGCAAATTACGCATGACCTCATAATTCAGCGAGCAGCCAGTCTCCAAAGCATATTATGCATGACGTCATAATGAATAATTTAACAGGCAGCCATAGCCTCCAAAGCATATTATGCTTGACGTCATAACAAATCATTTCGTGCTCAGCCATCGCCTCCAAAAAAACATATTGTACATGACGTCATAATAAATAATTCAGCAGAAAGCGATGTCATCGCACAGAATTATCGCAGGTTGTGGCGTCATCGCGAGGAATTCAGTGGGCAACGACGTCATTACGAACGGCATGAATATGAATTGCGTGGTTGACGTCACCGCGCGCTTAATCAATCAGCCGTTGGGGGCGAGTGCGGTCTGTTTGCTTGGTGGCGGTGGCAGTGAGAGCAAGAAAGTCCGCCGAGGAAGGAGGAAGGAAGGGAAGGGAAGGACGAGGAGAGGAGGAGGATTAAACGTCGTAAAACTGGCGGCGTCCGCGTCCTTCGAGCGTGCGGGAGCAGCAGACATGTCGGCCGAGGAGGACACGGAGCTTCGAGACCTGCTCGTCCAGACCCTCGAGGGAAACGGGGTCCTCAACAAAATCAAGGTGAGGCCCATAGACCAGCACCAACTTGGCCTTGTTGCCGTTGAGCGGCCGTGCGCATTCAATGTTGCGGCGGCAGTGGTCAATCCACTGCTGGATGACGGCCTTCATCCCCCTCCCCACCCCCCCACCGAAGCAGGATATAAGCAGGGCCGTGTGGGGAGGGTTGTGTTTGGCCATACTTCACCCTTCTAAGTGACTTTACCGAAAGAGACAAGAAATATGAGCGCGGGTTTTGTTAAGGCAACGGCAATAAGGAGGTACAGTACAGTACTGTCCTGTACACATTGCTCACAAGGCAGCCACGTAGCTGACTGAGGGTAACACAGAGTTATTAAAAATAGTCAATTTCAACCGTTTACGTACGTAAACATGTAATGTATTTTAATGTTGGCCTTGTGAACTAATGTTATGTGGTCAGGGCCTGTTCATTACTGTACAATAATAACCGCGAATGTGGTTGTTATTTTTTTACATTCATTGTTTGAGGTGTTGTTATTTATCACTTAATGCGATTGTTTATATCGGTGTTGAATGTGAAGGGGTATTTTTCGATTTAAAGCGTTCGTGACTGCAGGGATTCATTTAATAATCAATAAAAATTAAACAATAAATTGTGAGAATTTTATCGTTTAATTTTTTGTTATTTTATTATTTCCCTTCTGCGTGACTTTACCGAAAGAACCAAGAATGTGAAGGGGTATGTTGTGATCAACAAAGTACTGTACACGTACTGTACACGTATCGTACAGTATTTCCATACTCGACAAAGCCACATCGACCAGCGTGGTGAAGTATGGTCAAACGTAACGGCGTGAGGGCCTCATCCAGCAGTGGATTGACGACTGCACCACGTTGCACACTTGTACAATTGTCTGCAAGTTTAAGCGCAGTGGCAGTTATGGCATTCTTCTATTGTTACTGCATTACAAATAGGATCCACAAATATAATTTAATTTGTTTTAATTAAAATTTACATCTATTTTTTTTTACATCGCGTTTGCTTTGCTTACAGGCCCAGAAAGCTCAAAACGCCTTGTGGCCAGCAAAACCAGC